TGTGAATTGGGAAGCTGAGTTATTTGGAGACACTGATCAAGTGTGGAAAACATATTATTATAGAAAGAAAAGGTGGCTGCAATTATATAACTAAGTTGCTCACAAAGGATATAAGAGAAGAAATCAATGAAAATCATAATACATTTAAGAAACGTAAACTTATTGGTCGGACGGGAGATTTAGAAGATTATCGAAGATCAAGAAAGTTGGTGAAACAGGAAATTAGGACATCAAAAAGGATGTATAGGAAAAGGTTTGCTGAAAATGTAGAAATTATCAGTAAGGATTTCTTTAAAGACATTAAGGGCAAAAACAAAATGTTAAGATTGGGGTAGGACCTTTGAGTAATGATAAAGGACGGTTCGTACCTGATAATTATGAGATGGCTGGGTTACTAGACTATGCTATTTCTTTAGTTTCTACTAATGAAGATTTAAGCAATATTCCACATCTTGAACAGTTAATAGATGGAAACAAGATTGAACTAAATGACTGCATTAACTCTGAGCTTGTTAAAAACAATTGGGGAGTTTAACGAATGATAAGGCTTCTTGGCCACATAATATTTCCCCGAGGGTTTTGAAGTATGTTAAGGATTGGATATGTGAGACAAATTTTACTATTTTTTGTAAGTCTTTGAATAGTGGGAAGGTAACAGAGGATAGGAAGTTAGCTAATGGTACTACTCTTTCCAAGGGACGAGATAAAAATTGTTCCAGTAATTATAGGTCCATTAATCTTACATCAGTTGTAGCAAAACGTTTTGAAAGTCTGATAAAAGATGCTTTGCAAAGTCATTTAACAAAATTATTAATTTTTTGGATAGTCAACATGGTTTCACTAAGGGGAAATCTTACTTTACAAATCTTTTGACATATTTTGAAAAGGTTATCTGGATTTTCAGAAAGCATTTGACAAGATGCCACATACAAGACTTGTAAAAATGATCTCTTTAAGTGTCGTGGATAAGTTAGCTGATTAGATAGAAGAGTAGAAGAAAGCAGAGGAGTGTTATAAATGGAGTTCAGTCAAACTGGATTAATGTTTCAAGTAAGGTACCTCAGGGCTCAGTTTTAGGACTGTTGCTCTTTTGGATTTGCATCAATGACAGAGATGAGGGAATGGTCAATAAATTACTTAAATTTGCAAAAGACATTAACGTCTTTGGTGTTGTTAACTGTGAAGAAGATGCTGCTGATTCACAAAATGATTTAGATCATTTAGTGAGTAGGGCAAAAACATGGTAAATGGGTCTTAATTATACTAAATGCAAGATAATGCATGTGGGTTATCATAATTTGAATTTTAAGTATAAGTTGGATGGGAATAACATAAACAATGCCATGAAAGAAAGGTGTTGTGGTGTAATGGTTGACAAGTCTCTTAAGCCATCCAAGCAACGTGTTGTTGCTAGTGGTAGGACAAATAGGATTGTAGGTTGTATGTACAGAAATACTACATACAAGTCTAATTTCATTGTATATGTCACATTTGGAGTATTGTGTTCAGTCTTGGGCTCCTTACCATAGGAAGGATATTTAATTGTTGGAAAGGGTTCAGAGAAGAGTTACTAGAATGGTGCCTGGGATGGAGGGATTTTCATACGAGGAGAGGACGAGATATCTCAAATTGTTTTCTCTTGCAAAAGAAGACTTAGAGGAGATCTAATTGAGGTGTTTAAGATTGTATAGGGAAATGATAGTGTTGATACATCATCTTTTTTCATACTTTACAGTGAGAATAGTAGGAATAGGGGACACGAATATACATTTTTGCAGGGTAAGAGTCATCTTCAGCTAAGACAGTTTTATTTTAATTCTTACTGTAACCACTTTTTGAGTTATACCTGTAATGAATCTTGTGGATTTTACTCGTAACCACTTCTGCAAATCCCTCGTAACAACTCTTGTAAATTCTACTGGTAACTACTCTTGTGAATCCCACTCGTAAACACTCTTTTACATCCTACTGGTTACGATTCTAATGAATTCAAATCGTAATTGCTCCTGTAAATACTCCTAGTAGTCACACAGATAAACACTCTTGTGAAACATACATATAATCATTCCCATGAATTACCTTCGTAACTATTTTTGTAAATTCCAGTGGTAACCACTCTTGTAAATTCCAGTGGTAACCACTCTTGTGAATTCTTTTCCTAACCATCCTTTGATTCATACTCTTAATCACACCAGTTAGTCCAACTCTTAGTCCCTTTTGTGAATCCTACTCATAACCATTACCTTTAACATAACATAATGTTTTGGGACAAGAAGGGATCTACTGATCCATCTCGGCTGTTCCACCCTCTAACCTAAACTAAAACTATTAACTAAATAAATTAAAATATATTAAAGCCAGCCTTTATCATTCATATAGTTATCAAGTTTTCTCTTAAACTCACTTAATTTTACTGTCTCCACAACATCCTAAGGCAACTCAATATAAAAACCATCCAAATTGTTAGGAAAAAGCAGTTACGAATAGAATATAACGGAATGACTACGAGAAGTATTTACAAAAATCGTTATAAAGATGATTTAAAGGAATGATTACGAGTAAATTTACAGGAATGAATACGAATGATATTTACTGGAGTGATTACTAGTACGACTTAAAAGCTTTTTAAAACGATGATTTACAGGAGCACCAACGATTAGGATTTACACAAGTAACTAAGATTAGAATTCAGAAGGGTGATTATGAACAGGATTCGCGAGGAAGGTGATCAGTCGCTTTCACAATAAGGTTTACCAGCAAGATTTACATGAGTGATTACGAATAGCCACCCCTCAATGGCATAAATGTAAATCTGGAGGCTTATAATGATAAATCTGGGTTTCGATACCACTGGTGGATACATTGTATAACATTGTGCCTAACTACAAATAAACAGACAAAGATTACGAGTAGGATCCAGAAAAGTTGTTACGAATACGATTCACAGGAGCAGCTACTAGTTGAAATTACAGGAGTGACTACAAATAAGATCTATAGCAGTAACAGCGAGTGGAATTTACAGGAGTGATCATGAGTAGAATTCACAAAAGTTGTTATGGGTAGGATGTGAGAGATAGGTTACAATTAACATATAAAAAGTGTTTATGAGAACGATTTGCAGAAGTGATTACTGTTCGTATTTACAAGTGTTGTTATGAGAAAAACGCACATAACTGGTTACGAGTAGCATTCACGAAAGTGGATATGAGTACAATTCACAAAAGTAGTAACGCATCGAATTTCCTAAAGTGGCAACAGAAGGGATTTACAGGCTTGTTTACTATTAGGACTCACTACAGTGGTTACGGATAGATTTACAAGAGTGGTTTTTACTAGGATTTACAGAGTAACTAGTAGTATTAGTCACAAGAGTGGTTCGACTAGGATTCACAAGAGTGGTTTCTACTAGAACTTACAGAAGTAACTAGTAGTATTAGTCACAATAGTGCTTCAAGTAGTATTTACAACAGTGATTATGAAAAAGTAGAATTCACAAGAGTGGTTACTAGTATGAATTACAAAATTGGTTATCATGATGTATAGGAGTGATTATGAGAAGAATTTACTCCGAGTGGATTTAAAAGCGTGATTAAGAGTAGGATTCACAACAGTAGTTACGATGATTATTTATAGAAGTGACAATAAGAAGTATTTATTGGAGTAGCTAAAAGTGGGATTTTCAAGAGTATTCAAAAAAGTGTGAACAAGTAAGATTCAGAAGAGTGGTTTCGCGTTGAATATACAAGATTAGTTACGAGAAGGACATACATGAGTGGTTACGAGTAGGATTCAGAAAAGTGGTTACGAATAGGATTTACAAAAGTGATTATTGGTAGGATTTACAGGAGCATTTACGAATGTAATTAATATGAATGACTTAGAGTGAGTTTTACAAGAGTGGTTACGAGAAACATTTACATGAGTGAATAAGAATATATTTCACAAGAGTGGTTATGTGCAGGATTCCAACGAGTGACTTCCAGTAGGGTGCACAATGGCCAGCCTGGAGGATTTATAGTAGCGATTACAGGAGTAGTTATGAGTAGAATTTACAAACGTTGTTACAACTTAAATTCACAACGGCGTATACCAGTAATATTTATAATAATCGTTAAAAATACAATTTAGAGGTGTTTTTACGAGTAGAATTTACAGGAGTGAAAATGAAATGATTTACTTGCTTCAGTACAAGAGGGATTTATAAGAATGGTTACATGTATAGATTCAGAGAAGTGGTAATGAGTAGGATTCAGGAGAGTTATTTCAGGAATGGGATTTACAGGAGTAATTGCGAATATTATACAAAAGCGTGATTTTGAGTATCACTCACAAGAGTGGTTACATATAGGATTCACAAGAATGATTAGCAGTAGAATTAACAAAAGTGGTTATAAGGAGGCTTTACAGGAGTTGTCACGGAGATAATTTAGAGGAGTGACTAAGAGTGTGATTCACAAGAGCATTACAAAGATGATTTACATGAGAAATTATGAGTAGAATTCACAAGAATAGTTAGAAGTAGGATTCATAAATGTGTTTAGCAATAGGATTTACGAGAGCAGAAACGAGTACGAATCACAAATCACAGACTTAGAAGGATGGATACGAAGCGGACTTACAGGGGTAGTTACGAGAAGGATTATAGTGGTTATTAAGTACGTGTATTATTGAAAAGAGTGGTTAAGATAAGGATAAACAAAAGTGTTTAGTTTACCAGCAGATTTTTCGAAATTGTTAGTTTACACAAATAACACTAAACAACTGATTATTTAGGTTTTATCTTCAGTCTATAACGTATAAATACGTTTTGTCCAGGTATCATGGAAAATTTCGAGATAAACATTATTATACATTGTGTAAGTACTTAGAGCTGGTTGTAATTTCACTTGCAAACCTATGTATAATAAAATAGCTATTCAAGTCCAAGTAAACATAAAATATTAAATATATTTTCTTCTGTTAAAATTGAGTAAGAACATTTCAGTAAAATCGCGGTATACCTATGACTTTCAGAGTAATGACGGTGTTCACAGTCCGGGCTTTATGGAAGTCAACCCGACACCGATACTCTCCTGCGTCATCTTCCTTCACGGGGTCCAGCTGAAGAAATGCTGGCCTGTTGATCATGTTAAAGTAAGCACGACTCTCCAGCTCAGGGATGGAAGACTGGTGGGCGTGATCCACGCTACCCCGCCGGGCGTCCAGAGTATAGATGGGTTGAGCCGAGTCATCCTTGTACCAGAGAATGAGAGCTGCGGAGTCGTCGGCGGAGGGGGATGAGATGTCACATGGAAGAGCCACTTTGCCTCGTACAACTGCAGTGTACAGAATGGAAGCTGAAATGTGAAAATAAAATTAATATAATACGTTATTGAGTATATATCCCATACTTTACTGCCATTGCCATTCTAAGAAAAATATCTTACATGTAACTTTATCAGTTAACAATAACTAAACTTAGAAAAGACTTTATCTTCATCTGTTGAAAATAATTAGAGTAAACGTTTGTTGTTTCGAATGTTTGAGCAAAAGTATATATATGTTATTTTAAGCTGGTAGACAAGAGGGTAGGGAGCTAGTTAAAAGTATCAACCTCCAACTTTTGGACTACTCTAATCGAATAGTGGGATTTTAACCGTCAAGTTTATAACACGATCTCAAAATGTTGAACGTCATTTTGTAGCAACAGTGACCGGACCATTGACCCTTGTAACCAATAGAGCGACGATCGTCCCACTAAAATATGAAAAAACTTGTTTGTATCTACCTCAGAAAAAAAAAAGCTGAAATAAGAAAAACATTGGTTTGTATCTTTACCAGTTAACAATAATTAATTATAAGATAAATAGTGTTTGTGTGTTCATTAATTAACTATAATTAGAACTAATAAAAAACTTTTTATATCATCAAAATAATAAAAGAGAAAACATCCTCTATATCTTCCAAAACTAACATGAAAAAAAGGAAGAAATGAAATCATTAGAAAACTTTTTCATGTTGTAAGTGTCTGTGTTTTTTCCTTATAACAAACCCCTAAATTAGACTATTTGCTGTGTTAACCTCGGGGAATCGAATCTCAGACTTTAGCATTGAAGTCTATAGACCTACTGCTGGTCCACCAAAACCGAGCAAAAAATAAAAGTGTGAGAAAAACATTTTATATTCTGTAAAAATTGAGAAAGTGGAAACGAGAGAGCCTTTTTATTCTGAAAAAAACTAATGAGAAATATAGACAAAATAAAACTTTTTATATCCGGACAAACTAGCACGGAAGTAAAAACAAGAGAAGAAATTATAGTTTGTTCTTTTTGAATTTTGCCCAAAGCTAGACGAAGGTTATCTGCGTTAGCCGTCCCTAATTTAGCAGTAAAAGACTAGAGGGAAGACAGCTAGTCATCACCACCCACAACCAACTCTTGAGTTACTCTTTTACCAGTGAATAATGGGATTGACCGTGACATTATAACGCCCCCATGAGCATGTTTGGTGGGATAGGGATTCAAACCCGCGACCCTCAGATTATGAGTCGAGTGCCTTAACCACCTGGCTATGCCGGGCCAGAAATTAAAGGCTGGAAAAACACTAACGAGAAATAAAAACAAAAGAAAGTCATTTTTTATCTTAAGAAAATTAACAGAAAGTAGAAACAAAAGAAAAGGTCTTATATCCTGAAATACTAACAGGAAGTAAAAACAAGAAAATAAAATTATTTCCTGAAAAAACTAACGACAAATAAAAACAGAAGAAAATGATTTTTATTTTAAGACAATTAACAGCAAGCAGAAACAAGAGAAAAGTATTTAATGTCCTCAAATACTAATAGGAAATAAAAATAAGAAAAACTTGTTCTTATCCTTCTTAATTCCAAAATGTGTGTATATGTTTTATTATGGCAAAACCACATAAGGTTATTTATTGTTCTCACCAATGAGAATCGAACCTTTAATTATAGCTTTGCAGATCCGAAGACTTACTGCTGTTGCACCGTGGGGATAAGTTCAATTTTAGTAAAATGGATTTTGTTTTTAATATTTTTAGGAAATTGCCTAAATTATAATTTATTATTTAATTGTAAACACCTTTAGTTTCGAAGATTTTGAAAAAAAGTATCTGGAACTTTTCTAAAGTGTTGATAAAATAATTGGCTCCGAAATTACCCAAAGGTGTCACCATTTTAATTTTTATTCAGAGAATGCAGAATATAATAAGTGCTTTGATAATCGAGCTTCCTACCGTCCCTAATAACAGAAAGAAAGGCATAACTCGAATCAGGCTCTATTGTAACTTCCAAGCAAGTAAAGAAAGAAAAGTCGTGCCGATGATGGCTGGTTCCTTTACTTTTTGTTCTGTAACTTGTTTACGTTCAACTCTCTCGAAGGCTTTTGTTTAAAAAAAACTGGAGGCGTAACAATTGCATTAGCGTTTCATCACTGTTTCTACTTTATTCAATTTTCTTATTTTCAGAACGAATATGTCTTTTTGAAACACTCGCTCACAAAACGAGTAAATACCACGAGAATGAAATTACAAAGTTTGTAGACAACAATTTATTTTTCTAATTTTGTAAAACAAAAGTAAACTCTCCCAGGTTTATTTTCTTTTTTTCTCTTCGACGGATTTCAGAATCAACGATGTTTTTTTTTTTTCGGTTTAGTTTAAGTGTTACATTAAAAACTATCTTCAGGATTATCGTGAGCTACATCTGGATGTTAACAGATGTGATTTAGCAGTACCAGTTTCTTTCACCATCAAGTACTTCTGGTCTTTTCGATAAAACAAGACGAAACCTAGTCTGGAGATTTAAACCTTTGTGTGGTTTATAAATCTCAAGAGAAATTTAAGGACACTATTGAAACACATTGTCAATGATGATTTTTGTAAAATTTTAACTGTATATTCTTTACAAGAACATTATAAATTATTATTATTATATAAAATAGTGTGTTTATACAAATCATCAAGTCAAGTGAGAGCCATTGTAAAGTCGCGGTCGAACGGAATGTATCAGAACTACATTTTGGCATTACTTGGCGTGACGTAGATAACGTGATACAAAGGATAATTGATCGTTTTGGGGAAAGGTGTAACTGCCCTTTCTGACTCAAAATATTCATACACTAATATCACAAAGATTTAGAATTTCCATTACATGAATATCCATTGTATTTACAGGAAGGCTTGGGTGTAATTTGGACATGGCAGTCTTACGATGGAGCTTTTTGCAATAGAAACTACCCTGTAGGGCTATTGTCAAAATGTACGATCGTCAGGTGGAGTATGACATAACATAGCGATATGAACTGTAATGACGTAGTGTGTCTTCAAAATTGTTTTAATATAACACAACCAGTCTCTGTATTTTTTCATTAAAACATGTTTTAGACGTTCTAAAAAGGGTTCCTGCGAGAAAAAATATAATAAATGTCTCATTTTAATAGAAATGTTAATTAATAAAATTATAAAAACTAGGTAGTGAAGCTAAGTTAACCTGCTTTCCATTTGTTATTTTTTAAAAGAAATTTATCGAAAATAAAACTAAAATATACATGTATGTTTGTTTTGCTGAAGACACTAATTAGCATCCCTGATGCACACTGAAGCATCATCTGTACCCATGGCACTAAATTAAAGGAAATACTGTAATACACTTATAAGCTTACGACTTACACAGCAAACGTCCTATATTATGCACAGTAATAAGATGACGAGTTTTATAGAAAACTTCCTAAGTAGTTATGGCAGGTGTTCAGACACACACACACTGACCGTCTGTCTCAGGGTAAAGGAGTAGTGACGATAATGTCCACGAAGAGTAACTATAGGGCGCGTTGCTAGGCCGCCATAACAACGGAAGTTGTCCAAAGAGAAAAGTTGCCAGGGTCACAAAGTGGCACCACAGGGAGCAATAGACGTACTTTCTTATCTTACTGAAAATAGTTGACGTGATCTAGTTTCAAGTTTGCTGACATCTAAAGGTTTATCACAAAACGAGATATTTTAAAAAGTCAATAGCTTTAAAAGGTCTACAATTAGAAAGTTCGGTAACACACCCCTGCAGAAGAAAGTTTGTTTATATCTGTACTCTAAAACCGCAAAGTTTTGTTAATTTTATTTGTATAGCACGGTTTGTACTTCAAGTGAATATTCTGAAGAAAATAGTAAGTATTTCTATTTTAAATAATTTCTGTAATAGTAAAGTGATTGGTTAAACAGTAAGTCATTCATTCATTAGATTTAGTTGTAGCAAAATGGTTAGGTTAATGACTTTCAGATAGAAATGTAAAGAACACTTATATGCTGTTAGTTTCAGTAAAAACAAGCTCTCGACAAAGATTTTCCACAGTAATAATTGTTGAACATAGATCCTTCATACTTTAGTGTTCAACTTATAGAGGTAAACATAATATTTAAATAAGTGTCCTTTTCAGAACGATAATTGTGAAAGTATATAAGGTAAATTATTGGCTATAGTATTAGCAACTGTGCTAAAATACTACATAACTATAGTAACACTGTCCATCTAAAGTAACATTATCCTTTTTAAAACCTTATAATAATAACACCATCTGTTCATAGATGCACTGTCGGTCTTTGAAAAAATGTGTAAGTGAAAACTATAAAGTAACATATGTAAAATTAAATATATTGTCAAGAACAATAAAAATCATAGTTATATGGGTAGAGGAATAGCATATTTAAACTATAAAGCCAAGCTAGTGAAACGGTAAAATTGTTTGTTAAACCACTGCATGATATTTAGAGGTGTTATCACGAAAAACCCGTCCTCTTCAGAAATTGCAAAAAAGTATGATTAGATATAGAAGCAACAACTATAATCAGTACATTAAATGTGATAATATATCCAGCTCCAGAAACAGCAAAAAGTATGTCATGCTAGTTAAAGAAAGAAGCAAAAACTTTAGAACTAATGAATTAGTAAAATGTTTTATACATAGAGTGATGGATAATTAAAAAAGTATGCTATGCAAATAAGGTAAAAAACTATTAATTAATCGATGATACTACGAACTATGCTAACATTATCCTCAGTATAACAACTATAGCAACATTATTAACCGTCTTTGTATGACATATTATAAGTGGTAACTATAAAGCTGACAAGATTAAAATAGCATAGTTAATGTTTTACTTATAAAGGGAACTGTAAAAATAATGTTATACAAATCAGATTAAATTATTGATTTTAAGACTTTGATTGTTACTATAAAGTTGATGACACGTTGTCACCCTCTAATGGTTCGCTCGCGAACTACTTTCACGCCTTCTGGTGCCACTTCGTGGTCTTGACAATGCTCTCTGGACAACTTCCGTTGTC